CTCATCTTGATGCTCACCAACTTACAGAGTCACCTTCTGATCAGATACCAATCATAGAGTGTAAAGGTGTCAACCTGTCAGTTTTCTATAACTATAGTGGGCTCAGGGGAACCAGTTGCCTGCTTTGCCACTGGCAGTCTACATTTACATGCCTATATCATTAGTTGAGTCAGATGGTGAAATGGGAATATCGGTTTGTTCTGGACCGTAAGAGTTGGTTGTACCTGAGGTTCAAAGATTTCTTAAAGGTTTCTCCCTTGGAAATTGTCATTCCATCATCCTAAACTATCCCACAATGTTACTGATGCTTGCAGGCTGACCTTCATGCTGTTAACGTGGGGAAGCCTAGTGGTTAAAGTGTTTGCTCGTCACGCCAAAGACTTGGGTTCGATTTTGACGTAGAATATAATGAAGAAAGAAAAGCTTGCCTTCTAGGGAACATTAATTCTGTCCAAAAACTAGTGGATTGGGTAAGGATGGGAACAGAAGAGCCTTGGCCCTTACTTTAGTTTTAGCTCAAGAGTTGAGTGTATTCTTCTCTTCTTTTGCTTTGTAATTGACATCCTTTAATAGCATTTTGAATTAAGGCAACCCAAAAGAAATGAAAAGTAGGAAGTAATAATCTTAACTGAACAATAATCTCGGCTGAAGACAAAGTTGCCTGTTTACCATCATGAACTATCTATACAGGAGGTCAAACTGAAAGATACCATATTATATGACTAGATATACTTATTACTGAAGTAGTCAGATGTAATGTACTGAACTGGAAGAACAACTAGTATCTTTCACCTTAACAAATGTAAAGCAAGAGATAGCAAAATTTCTGGCCACTGCCCTTGGTATCATTAGGTATTTTTCCATGTTAGGTCCTTTTTGTTCTGAATAAAAAATGTTTTACAAGTTCAAACCTGTTCTCCATGAAATACAAGTCCTTTTTGAGCCAGCTGTTATATTCTCAATGTGGGATATTTTTTCTGCACTAATATGTCTGAGAAAATCTGTGTGAATCCCTGCTTTACAACTTTTATGGGTTGTATTCCTTCAGAGTGTGCGAGCTGTTACCCTGTCCCTATGGTGATGTCATAAGTTGAGCCCTAATATGGGTAATTTCTCTAGTTCTAATGTTAATTATTGAGTGATGCATATTTCCTTTCTTGGCATGAAGTAGTCCATCTGATGGTAAAATGCCACCGATACTTGGTCCAGAGTATGTAAACATATTTAATTAGTCACATTAAGCCATCTAAGTGTTTTCTTGTTCTTAATGCTTCTTTTTAATTATCAACTGAGTAGGAACAGATATTTTTTTTTACTCTATATCTTTGGTAGTTACAAATCTCTAAAAAAAAATAGGGTGGTGGGGTAGCCTTGTGGTTAAAGTGTTTGTTCGTCATGCTGAAGACCTGGGTTCAATTCCACACATGGGTACAATGTGTGAAGCCCATTTCTGGTGTCCCCTGCCATGATATTGCTGGAATATTGCTAAAAGCAGCGTAAAACTCTACTCACTCATTCATTCTGAAGAATCTACGACTGTATGTGAAACTGTTTGCATTCCTGGAATATTATAACATACCTTTATTGCATTGGTTGGAGATGACATACACATTGTTTCTAGGCTTGCAGTATAAATATGTTCAGTTGAGCAATATACGTCAGCGTCATTTGCTTGATATTATGTAGGATTATAACAATTTTTGCTTTTGTTAAGTGAATGCGTATAAAGCATTTGAAAGAGACACTTTTATCTGGATAGTTTTTTCTGTTTTCTGTAAAAAGTTCAGGTACATGATTGAGTATTGTAACTTTATTTGTGACTTGTTGGTCTTTTTGTTTTGATTATAGGACATGAAATTATTTGCTACAAAGTGAAGGAAACATCTTTATTTTGTTTTCTTATTGTAGTTAACTACTAATGAATTGTTCCAGATGTTTCTAAACTTGTTATTAATCAAATGTCAAGGATCACAAAGATATGGAATGGCCCTTCTCCTTCATAATAAATTACATATAGATAACAAGTGAAATTACATGTTAGATACTGTTTATGTTGAAAGAAGTGTTTTCCTATTGAGTGAAAGAGAGATATCAAATTGTAATTAAAGATCTGATTTGAGACCGAAGTAGGCAGAATATGCTCAGCGGTGATGATAAATATAATATTTAAGGATCATGAGGATTGATGACATTTATGATAATGTTTCTAGATTTTCAGTGTATGTTAGAGGTCGGCAGTTAGATATAAATATCCTAGTATTTACTACACAACTCTTCTATAATTTGTTAATTTACTGGGGAATTGACTCATCATAAGTGTTCTTAACAGGATTGGCAAATCAGCTGATCATGGACAGATGTTTATAAAAAAAAAATAGAATTATAAAAAGAATTAGAAGTAATCATCTTTCTATCAAATATCAATGTGTGATGCCCATTTCTGGTGTCCCCTGCCATCATATTGATGTATTCTGCTAAAAGCAGCATAAGAAACATACTCACTCACTTTCTCTATCTGATGAAATTCTGAACTTTTTATAGGTGCACGTCTGAATTTGCTGACTCAGCATGTGTGTGAAGCTGGTTGATTGCAAACTGAAATAGCCATTGAGAAACTGATAAGGCAGTAGCAGTATGCTGGAAATTGTCAATACTCAGCTGGTCTGACATATCAGTTTCTATTTCCATCCAGGAGCCTTCTTGTTTGACAACTTTCAGTTGTTAATTGAATTTACCAGTAATGTAGGTTAAATGAAGCTAGAAGTCGTGTGATGGTGGATCAATGGTACACCTACATGCAACTGTTCTACCTGTGAGACCATTATGAAGACCAGGAGAATCATGGATGGAATAAACACCTTGACAGACATCCCTTCATCTCATTCAGATAGTCCCATTAGGATTCCAGGTTAGAATTGCCCGACTTCGTTGATCATAGCCTGATGGTGTGGATCACTGGTCTCAATCCACTGGATTCCTGGTTCAGACTTACACACTGATGTCATGTAATAGGTAGGGCTGGGACGATTTGCCGATGCATCGATGCATCGTGATACACTATCGTATAGTCGACTTGTGTATCAATACCAAACGATACTAAACTTTTTTTCAAAACAGTATTATCTTATTCTTAACATGTTTACAGTACTTATTTAGAGAAAAATACACAAGTATGATGGAGTTACTTGTTGTTTATTACAACAGTGTTATTGTTAAACACAAATACCTTGAAATAAATCGTTTTAAATCTTGATACCGTGTTATTCTTTCAAGGTGAATGTATCGTGATACGTATCATATCGCAGGTAAAATATCGCGATATGTATCATATCGTGATATAGTGTATTGTCCCAGCCCTAGTAATTGTAATCTCAACACTTTCTGAAACGATACTTATATTGACTGATACAACTAGGAAATAAGGGTATCACTATCTTGTACCCAACTTCATGTGAGTTTATACAAAAGAAACTGAATATATGTTGCATACATTCAGCATGATGCCTTGATAATTGTAACTGTAAAATGTCAATTCAGTTGGTCTTGGTCCAGTTATATGCATACATTTCATTCATCATGATCAGGGGCGGTGGGGTAGCCTAGTGGATAAAGCGTTCGCTTGTCACGCCGAAGGCCTGGGTTCGATTCCCCACATGGGTACAATTTGTGAAGCCCATTTCCGGTGACCCCCGCCATGATATAGCTGGAATATTGCTAAAAACGGCGTAAAACTAAACTCACTCAGTCAGTCAGTCATCATGATCAATAGACACAGGCCAATCTAATTCTATATCAGCTTCAAACAGAACTAGATATCATGAGACATGTTCTGCATGGTACTTTCTTTATTGGATGTAGGAATCTTTGGAACCTAGCAATACTTTCTTCATTGCAAAACAATTTCCAGTGATAATGGAATCACTGCTGTACTAGCAATATGAAGCTTAGTCATTCACTGGTTGTGCCGATGTCAAAGGCCTTCTAGGACAGTGATGGTCTTACAGTATCTGACTCCTACACTAATCTACGCTGTCAAACTTCTCTATAGAAACAAGCATCCTTCACTCATATTGAACTCATACCTTCATGGATAGCTTTTGCTATTAACCCTTTTTCTGCAAGTACTACTCGTTCCTAAAATTTGTCCGTTTTCAAGGTTATGGACCTTGTTAATTATGCGAAACAATTAGTTAAACTGACTCAAGTTCATATATCTCTGTAATATCCAGTACAAAACATGCTACCATAGCGCAATCCCTTGTGTCATGTCTATGTGACCCTGTATACTCCCCAGGGAGTTGAGATTGATAATATGATGTGCCGTTGAGATTGAGATCCAGTGATAGAGGGAAAAAATACCAGCGCCTTGAGCAAGCACTAGTTGCTTGGATATGTGCGCTGTATAAATATCCTATAAAAATGTGAGGCTTGGAACTTGCCATAAACCCTTGTAGCTTAGATTAAGGGCAATTCAATGTGGTCATAATCTATTTCACTCAGTCATATTTGCAGAAATTGGTTCAAAGTATAAGGGTCAACACAATTTAGGTTTGTTTGAAAATTGTGGCACATCCTCTTATAGCAATAAATCAATATTGTCTGTCTATGGGATGCTGGTGTTGACATTCTGCCCTCACAGTTGTCACGGAAGTAGCACTTATATGTCTAAGTAATACTGATTTTATTGGTAGACCACATTGATTTCTTCAACAGCATTGATGCTGAAAGGTTAGTGGGGAAGTTCCATTCAAGTTATGACAGTGGTGTTTATAGGGGAGCTCAAAGGGAAACTCAACAATGCTGTTGGAGCATCAGTTTAACACAAGACATGTAGGTAATTGCTGTCGTTAGGAGAGAAAATTGTCAACGAGGCCAGCTAAGGTTATAGATTTCCCTGTCATAGCTTTTTTTATTCTTTAACATCCAGCAAGTCTTTTGACAAGCTCATGCTTTGACTGTTATTGCTGCTCTGATGTCATTGATTCTCTATTCCAGAACAGCTGAGACGAATACCTCGGTCGACCTGCGTCACTGCTCTTATAGTTGATTGAGGAAGGACTGATATTCATGAATTAATAATCATCCAATCAGAAGCTGTTTTGGTCTGTGTGTGTGTGTTGTCGCGGGGTCCGGCACCTGTGAAACATGCCCACAGATAGCATAGTGAAAGCTACAAAGACCAAAGGAGTTCGTATGATCAGAAGGCACAGGAGTCACACTGACGAGGGTAGGCCTGTTGGCGGGATGAGTCGTTACCGTGACGACATCGACACAGATGGCTTAATGCCAGCTCCAGCCAGGTTAATGACTTTTTTATAAATTTTCCGATTTCATGTCATGTTTTTAATTGTTTGAAATGTATTTATGCATTAGGAAAGTTGGTTTTGTTTATCTGCTGCATATGGTGAGTTTTCATGTTGTCCATGTGTTAGTAATTTAGAACACAACATGGTCTTTGGAATACTACTCTTTACATTATTTAACTGTGTTTAGAATAGTAAGTTGTCAATGTCTTAAAAATTACGAATGCAGCACAACATAAAATGTTACTTTTCAACAGTGTAGAAAGATCTTGTGCAAAGTTCTTTTACAGAAATAACTTTAACATGAATCACATTGGGTTTTGAAATATTCTGATTCTTAATGAATATATATTATTGTGACTTTATGAAACAATGTTTATTATGTTTTTGAGATTTGTCCATGTATATTCTTTTGCTAGATATTATAAATAATGTGTACTTTAATTGTGGTAGTATTTTGAGACTGTTGGACTAATTAAAACAAATGCCATTTGCTTTTGCAGTCAATAGATTTGAGCGATTTATCCTTGTAGATGTGACTTTAACCTCTAGTCTGAAGCCTGAGTCTAATAAATGTTGGATCTCAGAGTAAATAGTCCTTAGGATAACACTAAATTAGTAAGTCTGGAGTTTCTAGGTCAATATTAAGTTGAGTTAACTCTGACACAATGCTATGTTGAGTTAGCTGTGACACAATGCTATGTTGAGTTAGCTCTGACACAATGCTATGTTGAGTTAGCTGTGACACAATGCTATGTTGAGTTAGCTCTGACACAATGCTATGTTGAGTTAGCTCTGACACAATGCTATGTTGAGTTAGCTGTGACACAATGCTATGTTGAGTTATCTCTGACACAATGCTATGTTGAGTTAGCTGTGACACTGCTGTGTTGAGTTAGCTGTGACACAATGCTATGTTGAGTTAGCTGTGACACAATGCTGAGTTGTTGAGAGTTAGCTGTGACACAATGCTATGTTGAGTTAGCTGTGACACAATGCTATGTTGAGTTAGCTGTGACACAATGCTATGTTGAGTTAGCTGTGACACAATGCTATGTTGAGTTAGCTGAGTTAGTGACACAATGCTATGTTGAGTTAGCTGGCCTGACACAATGCTATGTTGAGTTAGCTGTGACACAATGCTATGTTGAGTTAGCTGTGACACAATGCTGAGTTGTTGAGTTAGCTGTGACACAATGCTATGTTGAGTTAGCTGTGACACAATGCTGACACAATGTTGAGTTAGCTGTGACACAATGCTATGTTGAGTTAGCTGTAGCTGTGACACAATGCTATGTTGAGTTAGCTGTGACACAATGCTATGTTGAGTTAGCTGTGACACAATGCTGACACAATGTTGAGTTAGCTGTGACACAATGCTTGTTGAGTTAGCTGTGACACAATGCTATGTTGAGTTAGCTGTGACACAATGCTATGTTGAGTTAGCTGTGACACAATGCTATGTTGAGTTAGGCCTGACACAATGCTATGTTGAGTTAGCTGTGACACAATGCTATGTTGAGTTAGCTGTGACACACAATGCTGATGTTGAGTTAGCTGTGACACAATGCTATGTTGAGTTAGGCCTGACACAATGCTATGTTGAGTTATCTGACACAATGCTGACACAATGCTGTGTTGAGTTAGCTCTGACACAATGCTATGTTGAGTTAGCTCTGACACAATGCTATGTTGAGTTAGCTGTGACACAATGCTATGTTGAGTTAGCTGTGACACAATGCTATGTTGACACAAGTTGAGTTAGCCTGACACAATGCTATGTTGAGTTAGCTGTGACACAATGCTATGTTGAGTTAGCTGTGACACAATGCAATGCTATGTTGAGTTAGCTGTGACACAATGCTATGTTGAGTTAGCTGTGACACAATGCTATGTTGAGTTAGCTGTGACACAATGCTATGTTGAGTTAGCTCTGACACAATGCTTTGTTGAGTTAGCTCTGACACAATGCTATGTTGAGTTAGCTGTGACACAATGCTGTGTTGAGTTAGCTGTGACACAATGCTATGTTGAGTTAGCTCTGACACAATGCTATGTTGAGTTAGCTGTGACACAATGCTATGTTGAGTTAGCTGTGACACAATGCTATGTTGAGTTAGCTGTGACACAATGCTATGTTGAGTTAGCTGTGACACAATGCTATGTTGAGTTAGCTGTGACACAATGCTATGTTGAGTTATCTCTGACACGGTGCTATTTGAATCCTGGAACCTCTTTCCTCAGGGTTATGACAAGGACCATTTTGCTTTTATGCAAATTACACTAACAAGAAACTCTTCTACTTTCCATTTGTGTTCCCTGGAGACCATTTTGAAAACATGAAAATTATGGGATAACACTACGCCATGATGGTTGCTAGGGAATTCTGAGTTAACATAGGTCCCTAGCAACCATTGCTGGTTGTAAGAGGTGACTTAATAGACTGTGCTGTCAGGCTTGGTGACATGGTTGACGCATGTCATCATTGTCTGATCCCTTGGATCAGTGCTGGTTGTAAGAGGTGACTTAATAGACTGTGCTGTCAGGCTTGGTGACATGGTTGACGCATGTCATCATTGTCTGATCCCTTGGATCAGTGCTGGTTGTAAGAGGTGACTTAATAGACTGTGCTGTCAGGCTTGGTGACATGGTTGACACATGTCATCATTGTCTGATCTCTTGGATCAGTGCTGGTTGTAAGAGGTGACTTAATAGACTGTGCTGTCAGGCTTGGTGACATGGTTGACACATGTCATCATTGTCTGATCTCTTGGATCAGTGCTGGTTGTAAGAGGTGACTTAATAGACTGGTCTGTCAGGCTTGGTGACATGGTTGACACATGTCATCATTGTCTGATCTCTTGGATCAGTGCTGGTTGTAAGAGGTGACTTAATAGACTGTGCTGTCAGGCTTGGTGACATGGTTGACACATGTCATCATTGTCTGATCTCTTGGATCAGTGCTGGTTGTAAGAGGTGACTTAATAGACTGGGCTGTCAGGCTTGGTGATATGGTTGACACATGTCATCATTGTCTGATCTCTTGGATCAGTGCTGATAATGCCGATCACTGAATTGTTTGCAGGCTGCCGTCACCCAGCTAGAAAATGTAATTCTACGTGAAAAACTGGATTCAGATTTGAGGCTGTCTGCTAATATGATTTTGTACTCAATAGTTTGAACTGTTGGGGTTCCCTTTAAGAAGTTCATTTATTGTCGTTAGTCCCTGACCATGCTTACTGAACGTTAATTAAACTGTCATCATAGTTTGGAATCCTGGTTCAACTTGATAATGTTTCTAAGTTTGTCCCACCATACCAAAGTGGTAAATGTCTCAGACTTGCGTCACATTGAGAGTTCCGTCCACATCAAACTGACACACGCTTATATAAGTTATACTGAGATACTGGCCAAAAGGAACCCTAAGTACTCACTCATTTATGTGGGCAGTCACAACCATAGTCTTTATGGTAGTCAATCTTTTCCCATTAAACATATTAAACCTTTGCATCTCTAGTTATATATTTTGAATAATTTTAAAATCATGATAATACACATTCTTACCATGCTTTGCTATTGACTGATTTTCTCTACCTAAACATCTGCAGTCTGTCAGGTGCAAGTTAAAAGTATGTTATGCCAAGATGGCCCTTTTGTTTAGTGCCAAACTAAAGATCAATAGAAATTCATGAACTTAGGTACACTCTTGTGTTTTTGGTCATGCTTTGTCTACTATTCTGTGTGAGATTCTGACTGTATTAGCTTCAACTTACAAGGTATATTTTTTCTTATAACAATGTTTTCTAATCTTTGGAAAAGGTCATTTCAACGGGAAATGTGTCTTTTTGAAAACCCTTCTTTATTGGTGTGTAAAATGTTAAATGCCAAGGTTGTTTTTCTTTTAACAGAAATGTTTGGAAAATGCATGTTGAGATTATTTATGTTTGAAAGACAGAATTTTATGAGATTGAGAGACTTTAGATCAACTGTAGTCCTGACAAGTGAGGTTTGGGCTGAAAACAAGGAAGCATTGTTTGCTCACAACACTTGACACTGACATTCCTTTACAAGACATGTTATTTCAAGCATGCAATAACAAGGCTTTGTGTCGGGTAAATAATTTCTTGTAAATGGCTGTTTTGCTGAAGGCCTAAGATGTTGTTTTACTTTGTTTATTAACTGAGAAAATCTTCATTTGCTGCTGTCCATGTCATGTTGGATGAGCTGCACATTCTGTACATTGCAAGTTGATAAACATTACTTATTCTGTATTTACATATTTTTATATTAGGCCTAAAAACAAAATGTTGTGGTTCCGATTACCCGACTGCCCATGAATTCTGGTGCCGACCCTAATTTGTTAAGCGGTTTAAATGAAATAAGCTTTTAGATACCATTGTTTTTCCCCGGCACCAACGGACATCGGTAATTCTGATAGAGAAAGTCGACATGATGGCCAAAACCTTGATTGAATAAACAATTATACATTGATAAATGTGTTATTAGTTTGTACTTTACTTCTAAAAAAAAAAATTGAAAAAAAGGTCCTACCTACCTACCTTAAATTTTAAAGAGGTGTAATCGGAACCACAACATTTTTTTTATTTGGCCTTACAGGTGTTTGAGAACTAGTATTCAGTCACTGGAAGTTTCATTTAGACCCAGCTGTTGATACTGTAAATTCCCTGTGAACTTTCCAGGCATAAAATAACATCCACAAAACAGACATAAAATGTATATTTCAGTGGGGAATAAAAAAGGCGCTTCAAATACACTGCATACGCCGTACAGTGTGAAAAACAAATTTGAATTACCAAAATATTTCTTGCTTCTGTACAGATACGAATGATTTGTTTGTTTCTTGTTTAACACCGCACTCTGAAATATTCAGGGCATGTAGCAGTGGCCTTCAAATAATCAAGTGTGAACCTTACAATCCAGTGATTGGGGTATGATGCTAAGCTATGAAACAAGTCACAGAGTCTGAACAACAAATC